CAGTGCGTGTGCAAGCCGGCTCTGCCTCTCCTACCCCTCCAACCTGGCGGAAACGGTCCTGGGGGGAACTTGACTACTCCCTGACATCCCTATTGAAACCCTGAGGTGGTAGTCAAATATGGACACAATGGGTGTGTCTAGACTACATGCCTCCTTCGACGGAGGCATGTAGATTAGCCAGATCATAAGAGGGAAATGAAGCCGCGATTATTTTAATCGCGGCTTCATTTAAATTTAAATGCCTGCCCCGATCTGCCGATCAGCTGTTTGTCGGCAGATCGGGGCAGCCATTTAAATTTAAATGAAGCCGCGATTATTTTAATCGCGGCTTCATTTAAATTTAAATGCCTGCCCCGATCTGCCGATCAGCTGTTTGTCGGCAGATCGGGGCAGCCATTTAAATTTAAATGAAGCCGCGATTATTTTAATCGCGGCTTCATTTCCCTCTTATGATCTGGCTAATCTACATGCCTCCGTCGAAGGAGGCATGTAGTCTAGGCACACCCAATTTCTCATTTCAGTTTCTGCCATTCTTTTAACTCAAATATTTAACATTCACAGTGGGGGGAAAAAACAAAATACCAACATGTACAGAACTACTTACAAAATCCAATAGTCATTGTGGTCCAATGGGCATGACGCTGGTATCAAAGTGTTACGAGTACATTCAAAGTACTACATAAGTACGTTTTATGAGTATAGCTGTTTTATAAATGCTGTTAGTCACTCACCTTTTAGGTGATTTATGTGAATCCATGCTATGTTTAATGCATTTTATCTGTATCTTTTCTTACCGTATGACCAGTAAAGCCAGAAGTGGCTGTGTTGCCATATTAGCTCTCTGCTAATATTATTTATCATTGCAACAGATAAACATCACAGCACAAGCAAGAAGCATCAGACACACACTGCACAGTTACTTCAAATACTAAGCCTCGGAAAGGATCCTGACCCAGCACAAGATGCCATAAAGGGGATTCACATCGATGCAGAAATAAATAAGCTTTTATTGTCAGCTTCTGCTATTTCAAGCTCTACCCAAACAGAGCAGGACACTGCTGGCCAGATCAATGAAAGCCTTCGATGGGACGGGATGCTTGAAGATCCTGCTGCTGAGGAAGAAAGGCTGCGTATCTATAAACTGAACAGAAGGAAACGTTATGGGTTATACGTCCAGCAACAGCTACCCCCAGAGCCATGTTTGACTCTCAAGCATTTCCCGTTACTTCCAAACAAAGATCCATACACAAACAGCGGTCAGGCAGCATGTCAGGAAGATCATGCCAGTCCTTATTTTCAGGAAAACAAAGATGAAGAGGCCCTGAATGCTGAGCTAGCTACCACGGTGTCGGAACTACAACCAGCAGCATTTCCAAATATTTCTCAGGAAGTTGTGTAAACGAGTATTGTTCTCTATTTTATATCGGTATTTAAATCAGTAACAGCACCATGACTGTTACATGGAAACTTTTTATGTAGTTTTATACACAGCAAAGTTGTTAGTCGGATTATTTCCTCATATGAACAGGATATTCTGTTTACTTCTGCCAGACTTTTTATAAAATACCACATGGAAAGTGGACAATAAAACAATTATGATGATGATTTTATTAAAGATTCTCTGCATTATACTACTTTCCCTCAAGTACCTTCTTACTGATCATGTTATTCGCAAATAGTAGTGTTCTACTGGATTACCTCAGTGCTTTTCAACATGAATACACTAAGCCTCACAATATGTCTGTGAAGTGGGCAGATGTTAGCCCATGTTGCAAATGGGGAAACTGAGGCAGTAAGTAGCTAAGTGATTTGATACCATGCATAGATACAAGATAGGGTAAGCAACATACAGATAAGCTTATCTAAGGTCATATACACTGCAGAATCAGGATTAAATGTCAGATCTTAGTGCCTTGCTTGCTCTCTAACTGCTAGACAATACTGTCTTTTGAAACAAAACCTTATTGTATTGTTCCCCAAAGGCAAAGATTTAGATCAGAAGTAAAGTGCACTAAATTGAAAAATGCCCTTTTCTCAAGTGACAAGGTTCTTATCAATATCATGAGTACTGCAGCTATGTGGCATCTTCTGCACAGATGGGCAAGCTGAAAAAAAATATCAATTGTCTTTCACTTCATAGGCTTCTCCGCTCATCTCTACAAACTTCTCAGATGCTCTTGCTTTTCATTACACACAATAATTTCTTTCAGACTCCCTCAGAATACCTTTACAGTATTCGAATATTTAAAAATAGCCAAAGGCAGAGAAAACATGTTGTTGGAAAAAATGACTGAACATCTGAAAGAAGAGAGAGAAAGTTTTTATAACTTCCTTCCACCTGCTTACAAATGTGTTCCTTATATTTTAAAAGATTTATTAAAACCTTTTTGAAGCAATGGCCTTTTCTAACAGCTATTGTCTTACATGCATACAACTAACCTGTTTTCTTTAATATTTTAATCACTGAATGGTCCTCTAACCCTGTCACCTTTAATTGGCTGTATAATGCCACAGGCACTTCTGCAATAGCAGGTTGGTTCTTTATTAATATATTCTGACTGTTTTAATACTTATTAGATTCCAACAATGTAATTACTTAAAAACCAAACATTTTTGCAAAGGGATGATCAAATGGACATAAAAAAGTACACAAAAACTCTATTATTAATTAAAGAATTGGTATTCTGTTTCAATTCCTATCCTTCTATCAGTATTAAAAATCCACAAGTTTAGAAATTCAGAAGGATTTAATAAGACAGTAGGCATCCAGACATGTACATTATATTTCCTCTGACAAGAATAGCTTGTCACAATAAAAAAATGTTTTTGAGTTCAATATATAATATATTCTAGTAAGTTATTATATAATGGACTCATCACTGTGGCATCTGAGCATCTGAACTGCCTCCCCCTTTAAAATCCATAATCAAAAGAGAAAGTTTTGTCTGTTTAAATACTCAGTTCATTTGAAAACAACAAGTGCTTTGTTTGCAGCATGTTCCAAAGCACATATCAGAAACCAGAACTAGCTTTTTAGGAATAAAATGGTGCCAGATGTGAAACAAACACATGCTATGGAGAGAATTTAATTATCTTAAAAACACATCTTCAAATGTCTTATTAAACTGATGAAGCCACAGCATTTGTATTACATTTTTATAGGCAATTTTATTTTAGTATAGCTTATTAGAGAATTTAGCAACAATCAAATCTGATAAAAGAAACAGGATCTAAGATCATCTGAATATATTGTCTTTAGTTCTAAGTAAATATTGTAGTAAATGATATCTAATGCTTCCACACAGTATGTAGCCACTAATTTCAGTAGTAACACCCAGCTGGACAGAGTTTGTGCAGTAGAGATGAGCCAGTCAGTTGTGATTCTAGTTTGCATTCAAGACCAATCAATAACCAGTAAGGTTTGCATTATAAAGAGACATCCCTGCAATGGGTTTACCTATAATTTATTACTAGTTACATGACAAAAAGCAAATTGAAATGAGTGGGGGGGGATTATGTCATATATAGCAGAACATATTGGATCTTGCACAATGATAACCAGCCTTGCCGTATACTAATCTGAATTTTTTAAAAAGCGTCTTCCATCAGTTGAAGAGGAACATTACGAAATCTGTGTTTTTAAAACACAGGATGGACAAATACCAGCCTACGAGCGGGATCTGCTCTGCCAGGGTTAGCTTCTGGCGGCCCCCACCGCTATATTTACCTGCATAGCCACAGGTACTAGAGACTGCAGCTCCTGTTGGCTGTGGATCGCTGATCCTGGCTAATGGGAGTTGCAGTAAGCAGTGTCCCGCTCTGTGCTGCCCCTCCTAGTAGCTGGAAACGGCGATCCACAGCCAACGGGAGCTGTGATCGCCAGGAGCTAACCCTGGCAAACCATCGCCGTGTTACTGCCCACCCCGTCCTAAACCATAGTGTAAGAACATTTCTCATTTAACTTGGAACAGCTAATGGTCACAATTTTAAAATAAAACTTCTTTTCAAAATCTAATGAATTCAGAGGAAAAGCAGTATGCATACAGGCATCCATTCTAGTCCAGTATCCTGTCTCCTACAGTTGCAGGAGGAAGGAACAAGCTAGCAATAAGGAATAACCTGTCCTCCCGAGACGTTATGTCTGAAACCTCTACACACAGAGGTTGGCTTATGCCCTGTTGTACGTGCACTTTTGGCAACTCTTAGGGAACGGTCTTAGTGGGAATAATTAGTATTTCGTACAGACTAGATTCGGCACATTTGGCACTGGGCTATGCTACTTACGTTGGTCCTTCTGACCCTGAATCACATGCCATGCAGCCCCAGTAGCCTCCGTGGGGTTACACAAGTTGAAGATCAGGTCAGGATTCCCATACCCATAATTCCTTACGAGCACTTGAACTCAGCACTCCAAGTCTCTCTAGCTTTAGCACGTCTGGATTTATGGGCAGAGAACAAAGACTAAAGGAATTACTGATTCAAGTGAATAAATAGCTAAAAAATCCCAACAAATCCCCTCTTCCATTGCATTTTCAGTCTCTTGCATCAGCTTTCACTAGTACATTGCAGAATTTACCTCTGCACATGCCATCTGTAACACCTGCAGAATCTATCTTATTGCAGTGCCTAATGACAACCAGCACACAGCCTGCATTCCTTGCTCTCCACTGACTGTTGTCCTTGTCCCTGTGTCCTACATATGTCCTCTTTTCAGAGTAGGCCTTGGGCTGGTGCGCTGAACAGGAGTGAATTTTAGCCCCGGAGGAGTTTGGGGAGAAAAGGAAAGGAAAGACAAGAGAATCCAGTTTCTACGGGCCATGCACAAAATCACTACTACACCCACAAGGAGTATAAGCCACATCTTCAAAAGCACGTGTTTTCTTCCCATGCTGCTCTCCTCACTTTCAACCAAGAAACAATTGTGGAGGTTTATAAAGCCACACGTTCTGTTTGGTCAAAGCGTGTGAAAGCACGACAAAGACAAAGACGATGCCAAGGTACAGGTTAAGAATATCTGAAGTTTTTATTCTCCCCATCTCTCTCCTCCGCTTCTCTGCCCCCTTAGCCCCCAGTGCCCTTCCGCCAAAACACACTTCTGATTTGATACTGCAGGGCTGCTCAGGAAGCTGCTGGTATGGAAGATCTTGCTTTCCTCAGTGAAATCATCAAAGCCATCAGCTCAAAAGCTGAAAATAACGATCTGTGCCAAGCCCAACAGGGAAAGCGCAGGCATGGCTGTAGATCTAGACCATTGACAGTTTTACATTCCCTTTGTCACAATCAATATCTTCTTTAGCAAGTCACTCCCCTGTACCCTACATGACGCTGCTGGAGTCCCAAAATTCGACTTCCATTTTATGACCTTCACGCTGTGGGTTTCCTAACATTCTTCCATGTTGCAGCTCCTCTTGAGAGAGGAACAGGGCCAGCATTAGCACATACCAGCTAACTAGCAGTTTGAAACCATTGTGATGTCTATACTTGGCTTTCAAAATTCATCACCCATCGGATCATTTTCTGTGCAATATTCTTCACTGCACGTTCCAGTCCAGTGCCTGCAAATTCTAGTAACCCTGCACTGACAAGCAGTTGCACAAGTCTGAGGCTGGGTTAACTAACTGGGAAGTACACAAGATGTTCTGTAAGATTACCCAGATGGGGAGCCTGAAGAAAGATGACCCAGTTCCTTCTGTGCCGTTGCCTACCCAAATGCAGTTTAACTCTTGCTCTAATCAAAACATCCTTTCCCCCCTTAAAGGAACATCTTTTAAAACAGGCTTGAATGCGATTAAAAACATCTGCTTAGATATAAAATTCTGGATTTCCCATCAGCTAACCTATGCCAGAAGATGTCAGCACCTACTGCTTCACCAGGAAATAGACAGTCTTGTGACCAAAGATGAAATTAATTACGGCTCTGTTTACAAGTGGCTGAATTATCTGCTAGATTTTCTGCAACAAAGAAGATTGTCATTGGTTTTACACATCAGCATGAAGTGTCAAGCATGTTTTTCCACTGTCCCAGATTCTCCCTTATCTGTGAAAGAGTGATTAACTTTTCCTCTTTGGAAACATTTCCCTTATTTTCATCTGATTACTGCAGCAGGGGAGGAGGAGAGGGAATCATCAATTCTAAAAGAGGACAAATGGCTAAATTTCCATAGAAAAGTAGGTGCAGGCCACACTGATGCTTAAAGCTGAATTTCTGAGCTGGCACAGAGGTAGCGACAGGTGAGGTTCCCTTAGAGTGATTGGGCAACTAGGTGTTTTTACCCACTTTAGCTAGTGGAGAGTTAGTACAATACAGTAGGAAGGGACTAGGATGGGTCATAGCAAGAGAGACAAATGTCAGTCAGCAGTCATCCAGGAGGTAATCGTTCCCAGAGTATTCTGCAGACTCCAGCTCGATGCTGGACAAGAACCGCCGTATGGACTTCCTGCAGTTGTAATCCAGAGTGGTGGTGTACACAGTTTTGGGGTGCTTTGGGTAGACGATGGTGGTGCTGGTGAAACGCAGGGGCTTGTTCCGAGGCTTGAAATGGACCTCGGCTTTGTAACTGCGCCACGTGCAATCAGGGATGCAAACAACTGTTTGGCTGCACAAGGAAACGCCTAACCCCACTGGCATGTAGACATCATCGATGAAGTGCTTCTCCGAGCCATACTTCACAGAGGAGGTGTACCTGAAACACACAAGGGAGACACTCGTGTGAACCTCACGTTGCTCCAGCAGCCAGTGCTCACTAGCCAAAAATGCAGGAGGAGGCAGGGTAATCTCTTGGCGAGGGCACTAGGCTAGGACTCAATAGGTTCCAATGCCAACCCTGAGATTCACTTCAGGCTAGCCACTTCCTCTCTCCGTGCCTCAGTTTTCCCATCTGTAAAATGCGGCTCTCAATACTGATCTCTTTTGACAAATGCTTGGAGATCCATGGATGGAAAGTGCTGTATAACCCCTGGGATTCCTAGTCCAAAGGCATTGTACTTAAATATCTATCTATCTTCCCACGGATCTCTCGCTTTCCACTTAAGGGAAGAGGAAAACCATCTCCTGCTGGCATTTCCATTGTTTGTCCAAGTGCCAGCTCTAAACAGAATCCCCTTTTCTAGTGGCATTTCCAAAAATTGCACCAGTTTAGCCATCTTAGCCCCGTAGGGTCTAGACAACCATTTTCAGACCAGCCAGGCACCAAGATCCGCATTTAGACTCCCTGAAGAAATGGCCTGATTTTCAGAACTGTTGACCCCATGGAAGCAGATGCTGTTTTCTGTGTTCTTATTCATCACGGGTCCTGCGGGAGCTCTCTATCCTTCCTCAGCCTGGCAGGTCATCAGCCAAGGCCGATGCAATTATACCCACTCGTTTTCATGAGGAAAACCAGCATGGACTTGACTGGCAGAAAATAATACATTGAGCGTACTGAGCATTTGGGATATGAAAATGAATACCGAGAATGCCTGGGTTTGTAATATGAGATGGGCCTGAAAGTCAGATTCTCGCTCTCTCTGCCTCACACCCTAGCCTTGGTGGGCCTGATCCTGCATGGTACCAAGGGTCAATTTCAATCTCTCGATCGGATCCTTTGTCAACACTAGTGAAAATGTTTTTACCCCTCCTCCCTATCTCCCTGCTGTTTGATCTATATGATTGTTCTACTTCTGGCCTGCACTGCTGTAGAAAGAGAGCTTTGTTCCTTTTTGTTCCATAAAATTATGTCCAAAGGAATAATCCATAGTCTATGAACTGAGGCAGTGTATTAAAAATGTTCCACCTCCCTAAATATTAGCTTTTCCCTCCCCAGTTCGGAGAATTACCTCTTGTTGATAAGACAGAACAGTCTACTATAAAACCATCAGTTTAGGAAAGTGGAATTCCTTTCCCCCAATAAAACAACCCTTTCGAAAGCGACTCCCTTTGAAGATCTTTGCTCGTGATTACCTTTCAAGTGATTAAACAGAACCTAAGATTTAGCAGCTGTCCAATGAACTAAGAATCATCATAAATAGGCAAGGGAAGTCTTTCCTTGAAATTCCTTCTAATCTACAAGGGGGTTGAAAGAGGCAAAGGGCTGGGGAAAGGCATAAGGAACATACTGGCTGGGTGGAACCACACAGTTAATTGAGCTTGAAACTAAGGCAGCGGTTTTCAAACTTTTTTCTCATGGCCCAGTTGAAGAAAATGGTTGATGCTGCAACCCAACATCATTTGACTTGAGTGCGGGCTCCAGAGTGGGGCTCAGGATGGAGCTTTGGGGTATGGGAAGGGGCTCTAGGGTGGGGGAGGGGTCAGGGCTGGGGCAGGAGGGGCTTACCTTGAGCAGCCTGAGCAGTGCAGCGTTTCCCAGCCAAGGGGAGTGTGGCGCTAGTGCTCGGGGCAGGGACAGTGCATGGAGTCCTGTGCGCGCTCCCCCTCCCACCTAGGAGCCAGACCCGCTGTCGGCCACTTCTGGGGCCCAGCACAGTCTGTGGTTCCAGGCCAGGCAAGTAGCTGTCTTAGCGCCCCCACTGGTCACCTGATCCCCTGCAGCAACGAGACCAAGGGCCCGACATTCCATGACTGAGTAGTGGGTCGTAACCCGTAGTCTGAAAACCACTGCTCCAGCGGACAAACGGATAGATCCTACAGCTCTTTCGCACAGTAACTATTGAATCTTTACACCCCCAGGAAGAGGAAGTTTAAACTCTAACTGATTGTAACACTGTATTTACCTTATCTCCTTTGGTGGCAGAGGGTCAAACTCAACTCCTTCGCCAAAGGATAAAGGACATAACCTCGCAGGGCAGCTGGCGAGCAGAGGGTTGGGGGAGAACACAGCATTCTGCAAGAGCGCAAAGAGAGTCCCTTTAATATAGCAATTCATTACAATCCCAAGAGGGGCTGTTTACTGAGTCACCACCTATGCCACAGATAAGGTTAACATTACCCAAAACAAAATCATCTGTGAAGGACTCCCAGCTCCACTGACTTCCATGGAGACCCACATATTTACACAATAGGTGAGCCTGGTACTTCTGGGCATTGGGGGGGGGGGAGGGAGAGAGGCAGCACAGGCGTCTGGGGCAGTACAGCGTCATGTGGCACAGAAAGTAAACTCTGCTTTGTGGATTTATGTTTGGGTTCTGCAGCTTTCGTAGTTTGCAAAGTGTGTATGAAACCTCTCAACACTGGGTTCATCAGTCACTGCTGTACAGAAACCGTCACGGGTTATTAAGTTGCATGAACTTCGGAACAGCCTTCCCAGCTTCCTGCTTCCCAAGCTCAGCTGTGTGCAGGAGGAATGTGCGCCCTAGGAAGGGGGAACTCCTTTGAGCTGGGAATGGAGAAGTTCCCTGTCTCCTCCCTTAGGGGACCGAATGAAGAACGAGGCACTTTCCCTTCTGACTAACCCTCCCCCCCCCAAGCTGGGAAGAAGAATGATCATGACCACAGCACCTCCACGCTTGGCCATATTTAAGGATCAATCCTGCTTCTCTTTAATACAGCTTTGGGAATGCTCCTTTAAGATTCCTGGACCTTATAAGAACCTCATTGTTCAATCTATGGCCTTTCTATGTTGTTCTCCAGGTTCCCTGCATCGTTTTCTTCACAAACAACGAGGGGTCCATTAGTTACAGCAAAAGCCTGATTTTCAGTGGTAATGAGCTCCAAATGAAATCAGTCAGACTTGCAAGGACTCAGCACCTTTCAAAACATAAACTAAGACCCCTTTTCAAAGGGCTGGGTGGAAAACGATTCCAGACAGTTTGTGTGTTTGACCAGCTCTGTGGAATTCCTGTCTCGGGCAAGAAGCTGGGAGGTGCTGTAAATGAATAACTCCGGTTCATGATTCTACAATTCCGCCACCCGTCACCGGTTTAGATGTCTGTATTTCCCTCGTGCCAAGAGTGTGGTGGGCTCTTTGTGGATACCGCCTTGGCACGGACACATTTAAACAGCAAAGCAGCAGCAGTTAAATGTATGCTCAGGGCATGGAAGGGGGAGATGCCATCTGGTACGATTTGAGACCCAACATCGAAATGAAAACAATCTGGGGCCAGCTAGACAACCCAGCCTTTCCTCTACAATGTGTGCATGGCAGGACACCACCTCCCCCCGCCCTCTGGCTTCGGGGGACATTACCAAAGGATGCTCAGACTAGCTGCAGAGTATGGGGGCAGTTCTGTGCAGAAGGGCTTCTGTCCAGCAGCTGCTGCGCCTCCAGCCAGAGGGGCCAGGGCACTGGCCGAGAGCATCTCTGCCCAGAACAGGCAGACGAGAGAGGCAGGATTTGTGACCGGTGCTTCTGTCTCGCAGCAGCGCCAGCGAATTGCATCACTCTGCAGGCGGGAGCCGCATCTTTGCAGAGAGGTGACAGGCGGAGGGGCAAAGCTGCTTAGGTGCAGGGATCGCCAGCGCAGGCCGCTTCCTGGGCTGCCCTCGCCCATGTTCAGCCATACGGGGGGGGGGCCCTG